TGCAAAAGCAAGAGCAAACACAACATATTAAATATTACCTATCATATAAGACCAGGCACTTAAAAAGGTTTGATCTTTAAAGTCATTGTCATAATAGATTTAGCAGGCACTCAATAAAACCATCAAGAGGTGATACGGTAATTTCCCTTTATAATGAATAACTATCATCATAGGTTGGAATTGACTTTGACATGGTTGTCTATACAATTATAATATGATGTGAGTCAACGGTGAAAAATAAACTGATAAGAACAGACGCCACCCTTAATCTTAGCCAAAAAGCAGAGAAAGTTATGGTGGTTCATGCAATTTAACTGGACCAACCCAAAAATCGTATATTGACCAATTAAACTGTCCCAATCAACACATTGTTATGAACCAAGACCATGCAATATTTTCTCTTTTAACACTAACCCATTGATACGAATTCTTTCTCTAACATCAATGAGATGAGGGGAGGTAAAAAGTCCAGTTTGAAAGCCACACTCCCGTAAAATAGCTTCACAGAATGTGCAAGTTGAACCCTGAAATAGAAAGAAGTAAAGAGAAGTTAGCAGGTACCAATGATGCTCAAGTTATACTAGTACCAATTTAAGAAAACAAATCTAATACAAAATAATATAGTCAAACTAAGCATAACCTACCTTTCCTTTTGTTCCAGCAATATGGATAATCTTGAGATCGTTAATTTTTTCCTCCAAACCAAGAATCTGTATTTTTTCAGTACAACAAAATAATTCAGTCGATGCAGTTATATACAAAAACACACGCATAGGTGCATGCTCCAAGATTTTCAACATGCCAGCAAAGTATGCTACCTTGAGGTACATCGACATCCTCTCCAATTTTCCATATGTACCACCTAAAGATGAGTTGCCTCCACGTTTCTGGCGTGTAATGAGAGAAGAAAGTGCTTCCATAGCTTTTTCATATGAAGATGGAACAGGAAGGTCTGGTAAGCATTCCTCCATGTCCGGGTTCCTCTCTGTTTTTTTGATGACTTGTGTCAAGGACATGGAACTTCTAAGACCTGGAAAATATATGCCAATAAAGAAATTAGAAAATACAGAGTCAATCACTCGCTCAAGCATAAAGACTTGTCTTCTGGGGGGAGAAAAGATTTGCATGAGATTGTTATGAAGACTTCTCAAATTATTAGAAAATCTCAAGCATCAAGACTCCTCACATCAATAATTTCTAACTGATGTGAGAAGTCTGTTATAATTTCTTGATAAATTCTAATAACAAGGCTCCTCACACCATAATTTCTAAATTGTTATGAAACTGAAGGCTTTTAAAATAATGACAACAAAAAGAAATACTTAATGATCATATCTATAAAGAAAATCTTGTGGCAGTGATTAAGATTGGAAAAAATGTAAGCTCAAGAAATATGAGCCACATAACAATATGGTAAAACAAGACAAGCTAGAAAAGATAAGGATTATTGAGAATGCTTATACAACCACTTGAATTTGTTAAGAAATTGTGAAATTATTTGATTCAGTGACCAACTATGGTAAAAACTTAAACCTGTAAGAAACAGTTCCACTTTATTATTGATGTTTTAAGATATCAATTCATGTTCAACACTGCAATTTTTCTAAATTGAAAGCATAGATAAAGTACAAGGCCATCATACGTTGTGTTGAAATTTAACGTTTATGGAAACAAGACTGTCATACTTCAGACACCTGATCCCCTAACTCAAATACCTCGTGAAAATAATTCCAAAAGGGCAACCATTACTCCATTCTCTCTTCAGAATTACCGTCTCTCATATAAGATTTCAAAAAGAAATCACAAAGAAAGAAAAATCGATATTTCAGTGTTGACCATTCACAGAAAGCCATAATGAATATGGATATTGGTCACACACCATAATTCAATTCGTCCACAATTGTTTGTCCAATACCAAAATAAACTCTAGCTTTACAACTTCAAGGATCTTTCACTGTAATCTTTACCTACATACATTAATAATGCTCGTAAGATGCACAATTACTCGATTGCTTTTACTGGTTTAATTTTCATGGCTTAAATGATTATAATTAATAAAGTAATTCAGACCTCCGCTTATACTGTTCTTATAATGAGCACAGTGTTCGGGGTAGAAAAGTGAAGGAGAAAAGGTACTCCATGTTTGTGTGATGTACGATGGTTGTGCTCTCTTAAGAAGCTGTGGAACGCCAAAAATCCCGCACTTCAAACAAGTACTGCTTGCGGTATCAAGCATCAGGAAAACATCAATCCTGCAGCAAAAAAGGGTAATTCTGTCATCATAAGTACATATACATACATTATACCAAAATAGACAGCTTGATTATCCTTCAATAAGGAACTATGTGAGAGAGGGGAGAAATGAAACTTTTTATTCGACTTCTTTTAGCTTATAACTTGATATTCAAGAGAAACGTTATAGCTGCTAAGAGAAAGCGAGCATAATTTTTCAGCTTATAATTAAGTGCTTCTTGAATTGACTCCTTTTTTAGCTTATAAGCTAATGTTGAGAGAAATATAAACTAGGGTAATCGCTTAAGAATAAGGCATCCTTGCATTGAAAAGGAAAGAAAATCATCACTATCATTGCCTTGACCTTAAAACATAGATTGATGCACTCCATTAGACAACTATAAACAGGTCATTCGAAAATCAAAATTAGAACCCCAACAATTTCCAGATATACAAGAAAGAGAAAGGATCAGATCAACAGCACAAACCAAGGTTCACATGGAATAAAAGTATGTTCTTTAGAACTCCAATCGACTTAACATCAAACACGTAGAGATCATATCTCCCACTGCCAGACCTGCCAACATTTCCCAGCAGCCAAACAAAGAATCAATCAAGTAAATGGCACAAAAAAAAGAAATTTCCTTTTTCCCCTTTAATCTATCCCCTGACACTCCCATTAACTCCAATAAGATATAGCCGAGTCTCTCAATAGACCCACACCCAGTTACCCATAAAGTAAAGACTATCCAAATAGCTGTACATATATACATATATGCATGTGTAGAGAAAGCAGATAAACATGTAAGAGATTGAGAAAGGGAGAGAAAACAGACGGATGAAGTTGGGGCAGGAGCCATGTTTGTTTTGGTTCTTTTTGTTCCTTGGTCTGGTCAGGTTGGTGATGATTGAGGGAGGGAAGGAGGGAGAGTTTGGTGGGATTTGGGAGCTCACTTCCCTCTCCCTTGTCTGCCTCCGTACTTTGTGGCTGGTGCTAAAGCCTATAAAACTGGTTATATATATACACACACACATATATATATATATATATACATATGCGGGATTCTTTTTTTGACCACTAATAAGTAATTTTAAGTGGGCGTGACCCATGAGGGCTCGGCCTATTATAAAATGTAATTTTAAAAAAATAAAATAAATAAACTATTCCATATTTTAAAGAAGGTGACATATGAATGACAATAAATTGGAATATAAGTTATTAAAAATTTTATTTAATTTGCTCAAAAAAATGTA